GGATTGATTCTCTTCTTCCCGGGTTGCAGCCAATGAAGCTAAGCATGTTTGGGGGTGTTTTTTTTTTTTTTGCTGTAATTACCTAAACATCATGGTACCTATTTTTAAAATCCAGGTGGTTGCAGGCGTGAAATACTATCTTACGGTGGAGGTGGTGAAAACAGCATGTGAAAAGAGCAATGGACCAATGGCATTCAACAAGATCCAGAACTGTGAGCTCCCTCCAAGGGCTGAGCAGGAGGTAAATTTAGATGCCAAGTTCTGATTATTTGCAGTTTAATTGACAAAAGCTGCCTTGTCTGAACTTAGCCAGCCACCTGTGTAAAGCAGATTTTAATTCTTTTCATAGATGATTTCAATTCAAAACAACGAAATGTGAAGCTGAGCTATAAGAATGACAATTATGGGTTTGGGGGTGGGCCCAGAGGAGCCCTTCACCTTGTGCATCATTGAAAGCTGTATTCACATCGCATGCTAATCGGGTTAGCTTTTTTCATAGGTGTTTGGGGATTTCCCAGCAAGGTCAGACAATTTGATTAGCTTAATCTGTTGCATTTACTGGGAAAATGGCTCAGTTGTATACCAAGTGTACTGTATTGTGTGAAGGCAGAAAATTGAGTGGCAATTTGCAGCCTCACCAAAGCTGTCGGGGCACTATAGTTTTCAAATGATCATGCCCCCAAGGGAGCTTGGCCAAAGCAACCATTCTGTGAGAGTATCCATGATTTTAAATATGCCAGAGGCCCCAAAAGCAGAGGACATGGATCTATGTTAAGTAATGGCTGCTTCCCTATAGATTCTGGCCTAGAAGTGCTACTTGGAGATGGTGCAACACGTCTGTCTCTTTTTGCACAGAAAAACCTGTTAGTCACTGAGCTGTAGATATTCCTGGGGGTGAGATGGAGAAGTTAGGGCTCCTGCCCTCACCCTTGAAGTGAAAGCAGTTATTTATTTATTGCTGGTATTTCTATGCCCATCTGCTCCAAAGTGGCTCATCTTACGATAGTGCTAAACAGTGGAGGTAGATAATAAAAGAAAATCAAACATCTTCCAGAGCCAAGTTTTCACGTCTTTTCACAAATTCAGCAGGGAGGAGGCAGCCCCTATATTTTCCATAGGAGGGGAACCGCTACTGAGAAGGCCCTGCTTCAGGGCTCCTCTAGATGGAATTCCTTCAGAGATGGGACTCTCTGCAGGGCCTTTACTCCAGATCATACAGGATGGGCAGGTTCACTTCAGAGGAGGCAGTCTTGGAGATAGCCAAGTCCTGAGCCTTGTAGCTTTACAGGTGGTAAACAGCACTTTGAATTGCACCCAGAAACTGATTGTCAACCAGTTCAGCTCCTGGAGAAAAGTTGTTACGTGGGTTGATCTCAGGGTGCTATATGGTCAGTTGGATGAATATATGTTAGTTAATAGCCACAGTACTATCTTTCCTCTAATTCTCCTCTTCTGATTGCATAGTTTTTTAGTATAATGTTATTAATATTATTATTTATTCTTATTCTTATTCTTGGTGCTTTGCAAACACACTGAGAGCTCCTTGCACTGAAGTCAAATTCCTTGTATGTTTACATACTTGGCTAATAAAGTACTCTACTCTACTCTACTCTACTCTATTCTATTCTATTCTATTCTATTCTATTCTATTCTATTCTATTCTATGTTATGTTAAACCAGTTTAAGCTAGTGAGTAGTCTTCAAGAGCCAGTCCCACAAGGAGTGAATGAAAGTAGTCCACTTGTAAGGTGAAAAGGGCCAAGCAACTTTAGGTGGTGTCTCCTGGTCCGGGAGTGATCTCAACATGCAATTGCATAAATTCTCTCTTAGCATGGCAACACCCACAGTTCACACAGGAGTTCTGAGTCCAACAGAACACCCAACTTGTGAGAGAGTTCCATCCAAAGAAGTATCTACCTACCTACCTACCTACTTATTTATTTATTTATTTATGAATAACTTCAATTTATATTGAAGGCTTTCAGAGACTGAAACCGAAAACAGACTGCTCCTTCAGGTGTGAAATTGTTATTTTGATAATTCCAGCTGTCTCCTCTTATATGCCTGGGATTAGTGGTTAGTAATGGAATCTTCTCCATTGTGGGAAGCTGCAAAAAGATGGTATCAGAGGAACTTCCCAGCTGGCTTCACCAGGCCTCAGAGGAAGTTAATTGCTGAATTCGCTCCATGGAATTATAGACCTGGAAGGGATCTTACAGGTCTTCTAGTCCAATCCTCTGCTGAGTGCAGGATCCACTATAGTATTGCTGACAGATGTCCCTGCAGCCTTTGTCTGAAGACCACCAATGAAGAGGGACATAATATTTCATGTGGCAGTCTGTTCCATTGGCTGACAACACAGATGGGTCTGGCTGCTAACTCTTCCCCCATATAATAACCCCATTCCCCCTTCTGTGACAAGGTCCTGGTATTTTGTGGTATAGGTACTTGAAGACTACTGTCATATCTCCCTCAGTCTTCCTTTCTGCAGGCTAAACGGGTGCAGTTTCTCTCACTGTTATTCTTAGGGCTTGGTTTCCAGACCCTCCTCTGAACTCACTGCAGTCTGTTGCGGTCAAACTGGACGCAGAACTCCAAATGGGGTCTGGCCAGAGTCGAGGGGAACAACGGCTTCCCCTGATCTGGCTCTCTGCCCTCTGCTCCTAACATACCCCAGGACTGCATCTCCCTCTTCTGCAGCTGCATCATCCGGTTGCCTCATATTACCTTGTGGTTGGAAAGACCCCCAGATCCCTTTCCCACGTACTGCTGCCAAGATGGCTTACTCTCTCCCTTCACTGGTGCCTTTTGCGGGTTCTTCTCTCCAGATACGGGACTTCCATGTTCTCTGTGAAATGGCACCCTATTTGTTTGTGCCAACTCTCCTGGATCTTTTCAGACTTCTCTTTCTCTTCTAAAGCGTTCTAGCTTTCTGTCATCTGTCAATGACACATCCGCTCCACACCTTCATCCGGGTTGTTAGTAAGCTATTCGGATGCGCAGAGCCCAGGACATAGCAGCCTCGCCCTCCACTCAGGTCCTCCTTCTAAACTCACGTTGAAGCGTTTTGGAGGAGTCTCTAGTTTGGCCACTCAGACAGTTATGAATCCATCTGTCGTTGTTTGAGCTGCCCAGGATTTTACCATGTCAGGGGAGGAGATGATGAGCACCTTTGTCAAACGCTTGGCTGAGATGCACGGGGTGGCTGTTGCTCATGGCTGCATTCCTGTCCAAGTACTCACAACTGTATTGCTTAATTATCTGCTGGAAGGTCCTGCCCAATAAAAGCATCCAGCTGACAGGCCTGTAATTTCCTGGGTTGTCCTCCTCCTCCTCCTCCTCTTCCTCCTCCTCCTCCTCTTCAGAAGACAGACATTTGCTACAGTTCCTGAAAACTCCCATCACACTTCTTGGTCTTGAAGGCACAGCTAGATTTCACGTGGGCATTTGAACATCCCTGCAATCTGTGGAGTTTTGTGCCAGCAGCATTTGCGGAATGGGGGGGTTGGTTCCCTCAGATAAACTGGCTGATCTTTAATGTGCCATAAGATTCACTGCTGGTCGTCCTTTCTCTGGGGTGCTGGATGGGCAGTTTCTTGGCCCACAGCCCTTACCCAAAGGGAAGGTGGATGTTCCAGGTTTTCAGGTAAGGAACAGGTGAGGCACTGAGGTTCCCACCACCAGTTTGGGGAGCCATGGTGCAAGGGGAAGACTCAGATTCCATCCACGGGAGTACGGATCCATTAGAGAAAAGGTAAAGTACAGTAAGTCAGTTTTTGTGTTCCCGAGAAAGGGGGGATAGCAAGCTGCACTGTAAGGTTATTCAGCAGCCCGAGTTGGACAACTGGCTTAGCTGCAACGTGGCCTGTTTGCTTCAAGGTTAGCCGGTTGTATGAACTGACTCAGCCATTGCAGTTTGCTTACCCTTATGGGTGAACCAGGCCTCTAGGTCTTGTTCCAGAAACAGCTGTCAAAAGAAACCAGGGGTTAGTGCAACATGTGATCCCATGTGGCTCAGGGTGATGGGAATTGCAGTCTGCCCAGCATCTCTGCAAGGCCTCTCTATTAAGAAAGGACAAACTAAGCCCTTTGGGTTTGTGTCAAGGTTCCCCAACGTTTGATATGCAGATGCTAAGGGATGAGTAGGATACAGAATTAGAGGTTTCTCTGTTACCTAGACAACGAGAGAGCGTCTTAACTCCTATAGCAGGGTGCCAGTGGACCTTAAACTACGACTTATACAACAAAAATAATATTTGGAATTTACTGGACTCCGTTACCTCAGTATAAAAAAGGATTGTCAAAAACAGCATTTTGTTGGAGATGTAATAAGGACAAAGCCTCTAAAGCGTATGTTTCTACAGTGTCCTATACTTATTAAGTTTTGAGATAAAGTGGTGAATTATATAAATATGACTGCGAGAGAAGCTAAAATTTTCAGAGGATAATATTCTTTTAAACTATATACCTAGTACATGGAATTTGACACCTGGACAACATAAATGGATTCTCCGTGCCCTTACTGTGGCCAAAAGGCTGATACTGCAGCTTTGGAAAGATACACGTA